CCCGCACTCCTCACTCGTACCCGCACTCCTCACTCCTCACCCCGCGCGCCGTACCCGCACTCCTCACCCCGCGCGCCGTACCCGCACTCTTCACCCCGCGCGCCACACCCGCACTCCTCACTCGTACCCGCACTCGCACTCCTCACTCGTACCCGCACTCGCACTCCTCACTCGTACCCGCACTCTTCACCCCGCGCACCGTACCCGCACTCTGCTCTCTCGTTTCTAGTTTAAGTTCACAGCAGCTCCCACCTGGATGCACTGCAGCCACCACCACACAGCGTCCCTGCAGTTGTATCTGGCACATCGACCCTCCCCCAGCAGGTTGGGGATCAAACCGTGGCGCAATGTCCCTGCAAAGGCCAGGATGATGTTGCTATGGAGACCATGATAAGGAATTTAGTTTGTAAGGAAATGTAATATAATTAATACACTCGTGTGTCATGAGAATCAGATGAGGTGCACGGGGCCACGCACCGAGCCTCGACGTGTCTACCAGTGAGGAGCAGCAGTCCCCTGAGAGCGATGAAGGTGTCTCTGCCCCAGCAACGGAAAATCCCCGCAGAGAAATGAGGAAGACCTGACAAAGAGACGTGACTCAAAACAAGATTTCATCGGGAAACACAGCATCAGATGTGTGTGACTGTTACCTGCAGCCAGCGAGGCGCAGCACTGCTCCTTCTGGCCCGTGATTGGACTGATGCGGTACGGGACGTCGTCTAATTGAGCAGAAACAGGAGGCAGAGCAGGAAAGCGTCCAACGCTGCACATCTGAACCGAACCGAGCGCCAGGTGACGAACAAAGGTAGAGCCGTTCTGGACAAAGCTGTTTTCAGACGGAGGACAGGTACGCGTCATCGCTCGACCGCAGCGAACCGGACACAGAGATGAAGATGAGCTGTACACTAACATTTCAGTACAACAAAGAGATCTGCTGTGTCAACAGACACAGCACAGCCTACCTGGACATGAGTTTGTAGGTGGCATCGAGGGCTGTGGTGTAGGTGGAAACTAGGATGGCATCAAAGTAGCAGGGGATGAGGTAGCGGGGCATGTGTTTGAGGAAATTAAACATGGCTGCCAACCAGCGACCCACCTGCAGACACAGAAGATGAAGACTTGTGTCTGACAGAAACAAGCAGCCGTGCTTGAGGAAGAACGAGTATAAGGAGGAGACGCAGGAAGGCTCAGTACTCAGCAGCACCTGCCTCAAACAACTATGGTCCAGGGCAGGGACAGAAATATCTAAGCTTGTGTCTCAGTCAGCTGGGTCGCACACGGGCCTGAGCAAATGACTCGGTAGCATTAGCACTTTGTAGGATTAGCGCTTTGTAGGATTAGCGCTTTGTAGGATTAGCGCTTTGTAGGATTAGCGCTTTGTAGCTAGCAGCCTGTGAGTTCAGGTTTTTGGAGCACAATTTAAGGAGTCAGTCATGTTGCAGACGTTTCCTCCAGTGCTAATGTGGATTTCATTGAGCTTTAGTCATCTTAGGCTTTTAACTTATTTTAGTGTTAGCCGACTAAATATCATTAGATTGTTGGCGAGTATAAAGTTTGTCATGTTTTTACCAGTGACAGTTTACAGAGTCTGTATGCACGCTTCTCTTCTTCTGCAGTACTGACTTTATGGGGTTTCATGAGAAACAGTATGGCAGATAGTCGTTTCACTTCCACACACCCTCCTTTATGTTCATCTTGTTTTTATTCGGTGATTCAAGTCTCAAATACATTTCATCCATTCATAGTTTTCTGTCATGTTTGTTCTCCAACAGCTGCTCCAGTCCTTTAGCACACTCAGTATTTCATCGTTATCTAAATGAACATTAGTGGCGATTCCCTCCGACAGAGTCTCTGAAGTACTGGGACCAACAGGAACAGGAAGAATGTGAAAACTGCACACAGAAAACTCAAACCCAGAAGCCGGCCTGTGTGAGGTGGCCTGTGGTGGTAAGAGGTCATCACAAACAGGAGCCTTAAACCAGTCCCAGTCTCACCTCTGCCAGCGGCCCCTCCCTGTGCATCAGCCTATTGGCGACGAAGTCTATGAGCCAGTCTCCGTCTCTGAGGTTGGCACACAAAGGATGGCCCAGGTCGTTGTTGGGACGAACATCAGCAAACACAGACATCAGACCTGCAAACACAGCAACACTTTAGTAACACTCATTTGGTCTCCATCCTAGATGAGGTACAGACTGGACTGAAGAACATAAAGTTACCCTGAAGTCCTGCGTATTTGAGAGTTTCCCAGCCTGGGATACTGTAACAGCCTCCGCCTTCCTCTTTTTCCTCCGTGTCGCAGCAAAACAGCAGGACATTCATGTCTGCCAGCGTCAGCTTAGACATGAGCCTGTTAAACACAGTCTCAATAAGAAGCTGCTACAGGCCATCAGTCTCCATTGTGCTGCTCGTTCAAAGTACTCCTGACTGCACCTCACCTAAAGCTAAAAGCATGAACATAAACAGCAGCGTTCATCTATCCCGTCACGTTTCCCTGATGATTTTATGTTCCTACTAACTGATGGATGATCAGAGTACAGCAACCTACTAATGATGTGACTGACACCTGTTTGACAAGTCCTGGTTTTACACCATAGCTCATGACAGCTGCTATCCAATTATATCCATCAAGCTATGACAACAAAAGCGCTCAATCTTTGGGTCTGTGTGGGTACAGAGTATGTAAGAGGTGTGTGTGCTAGCAAAAATACTGTACTACTAACAGGATGAAGTACTCTGCATATCTGTGTGTCTGATATACTAGCTTCACCTTTCTGAGTGTACCCTGCAGCTCGCACCGTTGCATCTCATCTTAGCGAGACACGTTCTGTCAGTCCCATTTCATCCATACCACAAAAAGGCCTGTGTTGAGTATGTGATGTGCTCACTGTGCCAGGGGCTTCTTCAGTGCGTCTGGTGGGTTTTCATCTGCTACGCTGCCTCTCCTGTACTTTGGGCTAAACTGGGACAGATAGTACCTCAGCAGTCCCACCAGCTTCTGGGCTTTGGGATCCAAACTGACCCTGACAAGGAGAGAAAAGAGAAACGCGAGTCTGAAAAGTGACCATAACACACAATCACGCGTGACGTTTGTGTGTGTGCTACCTGAAGGCGATGATGCTGCCGGGTGTCAGCTTCTGGAAGGTGATCTCGTGCACAAACTCTGAACGCCCTTTTGACGTCACTCCAGCTTTCTTCATCACTGTACTCTCATCCAGCTGTGCACACAGCAGAACCAGTTTAACACCGTCCGTCTGCCACTAACGCTCAGAAACACACCTGTGTTAAACACGACGCGCTCACCGAGATGTGCTCTTTCATTTCCACTGTGTATTCTGGCATGCCGTTGATGTAGTTCTCATCCTTCTTATATTTCCCGGCGCTCCTTTCCACCATCCTTGCCTCCAGCACCACCTCCTCTATTTTCCCTGGGAGAGGGAAAAGGTGGCAGCATGCACTGTGAATCCATCCAAACTACACACCTAACATGTTGTGACAAATTTTCCAGATCCGACTTTGCAGGTAACACACACACACACACCATATGCACTGCCTTTATGTAAAAATGTGTTCTCAAAATACACTGAAAACAATAAATAAGTAAAAAAACAAAAAAATAAGTAAAAAAAAGTAAAAAAAAAAAAAAAAAAGTATCAAGTAATTATGGTCCTCATGTCTCTGAACAGGACAGACTCTGGTCCTATCATGTTGTTGTTGATGTGTGTGGCTTGCAGCAGCAGCGCTGCAGCTGAGTGTGCACAGCAACGTGAATAAAGAGATGCTGCAAAGCATGAACGTGCACCCGGTTCTGCTAGCAGTACCTGATCTGAGTGAGGAGCGCACTTGTTTTCAAATGCAATGATAAGATTATTTAGATCCCACTAATCGAAAAAAATAAACCAATGAAAATAATAAAAACAAACAAACGTGGTGGGTGTGCACAGCTGCACTAAGATTCAAAATCCACAGTAATGATGTTGTTCTACCAGGAATGAACATGGGCGGGACACTGGTGCTGTACTGGTGGGTTTTGGGATCCCAGAAGGCGGTCCTGCTCACGGTTACCACAGACTGGTGGGTGCTGGAACAGTGACGAGTCACTGCAACGATGTCTGCATCCACCTGGTCCACGTACACCTGGACAGGAGGAGTTGGACAAACTGTACCAAAAGGTTTTAGCATCGAAGCATCGGCTTTAGCACAGAAAGCACTTCCTGTGTGTGTGTGTGTGTGTGTGTGTGTGTGTGTGTGTGTGTGTGTATACCTGTGTGAATCCCTGTGCAGCCAGCTCCTGGTGCAGCTTGTTTACTGCCCGTTTCCCAGCTACGATGCCGGTACAGGAGCTAACCTCACCAGGAGAGGATGGGACTGCTGACGGGTTCCACTTGGGATAGAAGCGCTCCTCCTTCACCACAGAGATCTGTGCACAGGTAAGCATGGAGTCGGTGTGTGCTCTTATTGCAGCGCCTCTCACAGGGCCTCAAAGTAACACTTTTATTTTCTTTATTTGATGACCTGCCTCGTGAATTAGCACTATTTAAACTGGAAGTATAAAGGAATGAGGGTTGACTTGAAATTTTGGATTTTATTATATATGTGACAGATTTATCCAGTGAATCTAAATTCACTGGAACATCAGCATTGACAAAGGAAAAATCCAAAACTATAGAGTGAACTTACGATGTATGTCTGTCATGTTAAGTTTGCTTCTGCTGTTTTAGATTCTAAAGACCGTTTGTGTCCACAAAAACTCCACAAAGGACCAAAGACAGGCTGAGCTTGTGTTAATGAGCAGTTAGGCACATTTTTACAAATACGCCCCATTATTGGAGACTTTGTTCTGTCGTGTTCAGCAAATTGCTGTCAGATGATAAATATATAATAACCTGATGTGGCACCAGTTCATCGTATCCACGGGTGGAGCCAGTAGCGCAGCACGCCATGGCCACGATAGCAGAGCTGGGCAGAGCGTCGAAGGCTGAGCGGAGCTGTAAACGACACACCCGACAATTAACCATCGTACAACAGCTCGACTCCAAGCTCACTGTCAGCTGACCTTAAGAGACCCACCTGGATAGGACACTCGTTGTCATGGGTTACATCAAGAAACATGGCGTGTGCAATGGAGGGTGTCAGTGGGCGGAGACTGGGCTGAACAAAAGCTCCTACTGGCTCACCGCCGTAACGATACACCAGGCGGCCCTCCTCGTGGCTGTCACCAGCTGACATCGCCTCTGATGATCGAGTGAAGGGGGAAAACCAAAGTAAGCGCTCGCAGACACAGGTGGACACACGCCATGCTGCATCATTGACAGGTGAGCTCACACACTCAGTTACATTTGTTTCCATGTGAATCCAAACTGAGTACAAATGACATCAGAACCATGATGAGGATGAAAAGTTGAATCTGTGCAAACGGTCCAGCAACATCCATCCATCCATCCATCTTCATCCGCTTTGTCCGAGGCCGGGTCGCGGGGGCAGCAGCCTAAGCAAAGAGGCCCAGACCTCCCTCTCCCCGGCCACCTCCTCCAGCTTATCCGGGGGAATACCAAGGCGTTCCCAGGCCAGCCGAGAGATATAATCTCTCCAGCGTGTCCTGGGTCTGCCCCGGGGCCTCCTCCCGGTGGGACATGCCTGGAACACCTCACCCAGGAGGCGCCCAGGGGGCATCCTTGTCAGATGCCCGAACCACCTCAGCTGGCTCCTTTCGATATGGAGGAGCAGCTGCTCTACTCTGAGCCCCTCCCGGATGGCCGAACTTCTCACCCTATCTCTAAGGGAGAGGCCAGCCACCCTTCGGAGGAAGCTCATTTCTGCCGCTTGTATCCGCGATCTCGTTCTTTCGGTCACTGCCCACAGCTCGTGGCCATAGGTGAGGGTAGGGACGTAGATCGACCGGTAAATTGAGAGCTTCGCTTTTACACTCAGCTCCCTCTTCACCACGACGGACCGGTGCAGCGTCTGCATTACTGCAGCTGCAGCCCCAATCCGTCGGTCGATCTCCGGCTCCCTTCTCCCATCACTCGCGAACAAGACCCCGAGATACTTGAACTCCTCCACTTGGGGCAGAAACTCATCCCCGACCCGGAGTGGGCACTCCACCCTTTTCCGGCTGAGAACCATGGCCTCAGATTTGGAGGTGCTGATCCTCATTCCCGCTGCTTCACACTCGGCTGCGAACCGCTCCAGTGCGAGCTGGAGGCCCTCACCCGGTCACCTGATCATAACTGCACAGGGTTGTTGGAGTTTATCTGGTTTGATTCCAGGATTTGACAGAGTTGTGTTTGTCAGTGGGTCACACAGCTGTGGATGAAGATCCATGAAAGCCGTGACTTTGGTAACCTGCACAGAGTCACGCAGGCCTGCAGTGTACACACCTGAATAATAAACACCTGCGTTTTGTGTTTGCCTGTGTTATCTTTGTCTAACATTTACATTTGTTTCATGAAGTGTGAGAAATGTGCAAAAAATATGGAACCAGGAAGGAAGCAAACCAGGACACAGTTATTACTGTGACCTCCAACAGGTGCAGCTCTGTGACGGGGTTTGGTGCAGTGGGGTTTGGACCTCACTACATATTAAAGCTACTTCCTATACAAGTTGTTTTTAGTACCACAACTACAAGTACTGAAAGATGTCACTGAATGCCAAAAAAAAATCTAGTTATAATTCCTGAGTTTACATTTTTGGTTTTTACTTCAAGCTTTGGGCGTGCTCCAGGAACAGCGCCACAACAAGCAGAGTTCAGCACGACTGAAATGTGGCTGATCTCCCCTTCGATGCTGGGATGTCCAGAAGTGCTCAGAATTCATTTCGGATCATCTACACAGCACGCTCTGACTTCATCACAGGCTCCACACTTTGTGCACAATCCCAGCTCATCACCAGTGACGAGAGCGGGACTCCTGGAACAGCTGAGCTCTCAGCAGTTTCAGGAGTCTGAATGTGTTTACATGGATTTATTCAAGCTGACTTGAGGCTGTTCTGAAGATGTGGAATTGATACAAATATTTAAACATGAATGAAGTCAGCAGTTAACGAACATGCTGTATTTGTAGGTGTGTTATAGACACGGTACTTTACCTCGTATGAGTGATGTAATCCCTAGCTTGGTAACAAAGACATTATCCAGCTCCTCGCTGCCGGTGAACAGCTCAGCCACCACATACAGGTCAGGACGCACCGTTCTGGCCACATCCAGCATGAACTAACAAACCACAGCATGACAAACCAGTGCGGGGGGGCATGCATGAAAGAAAGATTGAAGGAGGAAGAGGAGGAGAATAAAGTGAAGGGGACTCAGCCAGTTAGAATGGTGCAGTCAAAGAACACACGGAGAGGTGGAGTGTTTGGAGACATGCAGAACAATGCAGTGGGGAGAGAAGAAAGACAGTCACACATTTAGCTTGCACATCAGTGCTGTACCTCGTATGAGACTGCTAATTCCCAGCCGGTTAACAAAAACATTGTCAAGGAGCTCGCTGCCTGTAAAGAGCTCAGCTATCACATACAGATTGGGTCTGACCGCTCTGGCTGCGTCTAACATGGCCTGGACGACAAACATCACGGACAAGGAGAGAGAGAGCTGCTGTTAGCAGGGACACGCTCACACGGGACAACATGGCTGTAATGACGCTGCGTCCTCTCTTTGTACATGCTTGAACTCAGCATTAATCATATTTGTCACTACAGTTAGGACCGTTACAGTGTAGCACAGACGTCCTGAGATCGTTTCACTGAATCTCACTGATAATGCGTGCCGAAGCAGAAGGGTGCGCCACAGCAGCATTTGCTCGCACCTGGACTAGACTCACTGAGGCCACATCACAGTATTACTTCAACACTTGCAGATGGAACAAGCCGGCTCTCAAACGGAGCCGAAACCAGAACAAGTTCCAGAAGGACACGGTGACGTCTGGAAATACAGTTAACACGCTAAGAAGTGGCTATCCTTCCAACATCCTCTGCAAAACACAAGACAGCCAGGACATCCAATAATAATTTGCCTGGGTTATTTATATGGTGGCTGCATACTGTAACAAAGCCCCAAAAATTCAGACCCCTCCCACAGGGCGGGTCAGCACAGGGCCACACAGCGACCTCTCTGCTGTTATCACAGATGTCTGTCCATTCAAACTGTGGCACATCAGTGATTTAAATAAACTCTTTCATGCTTTGAGACTAACACAAACATGTCGTGTGTCCTCGACATGTCTGTAGAACAGTTCAACAGTGACGTTCGGCCCCAGTGAGACATCAAACATATTTCTAACATGTAAGCCTGCAGAACAACTTTACTGCAACATGGAGCTAAAGTGTTACGTGTCCTGGGTTTAAACGTAGAATAATTGACATGAAGTGTGTGATGTACAGTGAGGTGTGGCGATACCTCAGCAACATGTAAAGGTGTGGAATGGCAGTTGTCCAGGCGGACTCCGTGGAAATACTTGGCTGTGATTTGCGTGTATTTCTTCATGTGATCCCACAGGTAGGGACAGTCGTCAGGCGTGTTGCCGTATCGTAGTTTGACACTGTCACCCCAGGCGATCAGCTCCCGACGAATGTACACGTTGGAGCCTTTATGGAGCAGAAGCACTTCAGTACTGATACGGTCACTTTATTACTCCCAGGTTGCAGCAACAACAGTCACTGACAGGTTAAAGCAGCATCATATTCAACATTTAGTCTTTTTTTAACCACTTGTGTGGCTCATCCTGTTTACCTGGTTCAGCAAAGTTCCTGAGTGGATCGTCGCCCATCACCCAACCGTTGTGGGCCAGGAAATGGCACATCTTGTCTGGCTGGTCCAGCAGCTGCATTTCCTGGTCCAGAGTCATGTCCTGATTGGGGAAGGTGAAATACCTGACCGGAAGATGGGAACATGGCATTATGGCTGCCCGGGTGATGTGAACGTAGTGCAGCTGTGGACACTTTGTGTCAAAGCACTTCATGTTAGACAACGGATCATTTGATGGATCCTATTCAGTGAGGATCAATGAGTTTGTCACCAACATCCACGCTTTTCAAAGAAAACATGAATCCAACTGACTGCCACTGGATATAAAGCTTTCTATGTAGTTTGAGCCTCATTTACCTGTCAGCACACATTCATCCAAGTGCTTTATTGAAATAAGCCTGAATACTTTTATCTTAATGCTCACATACTTTGATGTATGTGGAACAACTCGGGGTTCAGCATCTTGCCCTGAGTTTGGAGAACCAGGGGTTGAGCCACCCACCTTCTAATTGGTATACAGCTCACTGACTTCTGAGCCAGCGCCACCCCTAATACGTACTTATAGTATGGGCCATGATAATATCTTAGCATTATGAAGTGTCCAGCTAACCTGCCTCGTGTCTTTGTTAAAGCTTTAGTAAATGTGCTGAGTTATTAACACACTTCACTGTACTCTGTCTTCCTCTCATTAGTCAGCTCTTTAAACTGGTTACCTGGTGACCATTGGGTTTGTCCTGGTAACAGGGCCCAGCCTGGGACCGTGCTCAGCAAGTCGTTCATAGACGAGGTTTCCAATAAGACAGTTGACAGCCTGGAGGGACGAAGAAGGTTGTGACAGAGCAAAAGACAAATCAGACACTTGTTCGAAAACAAAGTACCCGCACACACGTTAAAGATTTTACATGTCACAGAGAAGGTGTTTGCTGAAAATGACCATGTATAGAAACAGTCCACACAGGAGCCCAGCGATGGCGACAGTTCATCTTACAGAGCAGTTATCAAACAGCTAACAGATCAATGGTTAATCTGGAGTTGCAGTCAGGTTTCAGAGCTCATCACTGTACAGGAGGCTGAAGGTTATGAAGACCTTACAGCCTCTGACCGTGGACCTCACTGCAGTGGTCCATACGTTATTACAGCGCTGTTAGTGTTAGAGGTGCTGTGCTGCAGTGGTTTGACCTGAATCACCTGCAGCTTCCTGCTTTGACATTCAAATGAAAGCAACGTTTCTTGTAAACAGCCACAAACATCAGGATTAGGGATGGGTACCGGTCATGGCACCGGTTCTGACATAAACGGTAGTAACCAGACCGAAAAGCAGCGCACATTTCGGTGCTTTATTTCGGTGCTTTTTTTTCCTGAGCTGTGATAC